AGACGGACACAGAAATCAGCCATCTCTTTGATAATAGCGCGTCCGCCACACTAACATAAAGCCAATTCCTAAAATTAAAGCCATTTATAACGTTAAACATTCAAGCAAAAAATAGTAGTAACTATTAGTAGTTAGTAAAAGTACTAACTGAATCTCTATTGAACATGTCTTAAATATTTCCATATTGGCGCTCCATGATTTACAACAACACTTTGATTTTTTGACCCGGCTTGCACCAACAAAATGGTAGAATTACCTAATACCATTTAGGTGTGGGGGTGGTGGCTGCAGGAATGGGTGGTTGAGTTTAATTTAGAACGCCGTGTCGAAATGGTTTTAATTTAGTTACGCCGTATCGAAATGGTTTTAATTTAGTTACGCCGTATCAAAATGGTTTTAATTTAGAATGCCGTATCGAAATGGTTTTAGTTTAGAATGCCGTATCGGAATGGTTTTAATTTTAGAACGCCATATCGAAATGGTTTTAGTTTAGAATGCCGTATCGAAATGGTTTTAATTTAGAACGCCGTATTGAAATGTTTTTAATTTAGAACGCTGTATCGAATTTGGTTTTACTTTAGAACGCCATATCGAAATGGTTTTAGTTTAGAATGCCGTATCGAAATGGTTTTAATTTAGAACGCCGTATCGAAATGGTTTTAATTTAGGGGGTACTGTTCCGAAATATGGCGTAAAATGTTCGTGACTGCCTCGTTGTCAGCTCTTCCATACCGCTCCCTCCACATGAACTCAATGAATGTAACACCTCCAACAAAGAACATAACACCTCAAACAATGCTTGCTAATCAAGGCGGCGCATCAGACGCTGCCGCCCAGCGCCCTGCTTCGCACTTAATTTCACACTACTTATGGCGTTAAAATGACGGGCTCATTCATCTCTGACTACGTTTGGTGAGCCACAATGGAGGAATCGTACATTTACCCAAAGATACTAGAAAAGTGTTTTTGATTCATCTTACATCTTGGTTTTTATACATGCATATGCATTGAGTTTATTTATATGTCCATTTCTTACGTTGTGTGTTACGTATTGATGGCATCCGGTAGAGGTCAGTGACCGCGTCCTGTGACCCGCAAGTGATCTTTTGTCGTTGCTAATTAACATAAAATGGCATGCTTTTTGTAAGTCTGCAAAAAAATCTTAACTAAAAGCAGCCTGTATCCTATCTCTGATCTTTATTTTTAAACCTAAAAGCAGCCTATCTCTGATCT